TGCGGAAGTTGGACAGTGAATAAAGAAGACCATGAAGAATGGATGCATTTGAGTTATGGTGTTGAAGAGAATACTGAAAGTACCATGGACTACCAAAAGAACACATACATCTGTGTTGGAAGAAATACAGTCAAAGTGCTCCTTGGAAGCCAGGATGGCCAGACTTCCAGCTTTCATACTTCGAACATATTGTCAGCAGGAGCCAGTCCCTGGAGAAGGATACCATGTTTGGTAAAGTGAAGGTTCAGAGAAAAAGAGGAAACCCCCAACGAAATGGATTGGCACAGTGGTAGCATCACTGGGATCAAATGTAGCAATGATTGTGAAGTTGGCCCAGGATCGGGATGTGTTATGCATAAGGTTACTGTTACTATGAGTTGGTACTGACTCACAACCTAACAAAACAAAAACAATCTCTGTAGTTGTTGTTGTTGTTAAGTGCCATCAAGTCAATTCCGACCCATAGCGACCCTGTGTAGGGTTTCCAAGGAGCAGCTGGTAAGCTTGAATTGCCAATCTTGAAGTTCAAATGGCTTTGCAGTCTGGCACATTAACCCACAGCGCCACACCAGGAATCTCTGTAGTGGCATCTAACAAAAACAATCTCTATAGTGCTGCAACAATTTTTGAATTATCTTCAGCAAAATTTTATTTGCATGTGATATTACTCAATGATTTCCTCATTCAGTTGAGTCATTTTTCTTTGGAATGAGCACAAATCTCTTGCAATTGGTTGGCCAGGTAGCTGTCTTCCAAATTTTTTGGCACAGATGAGCGAGTACCTCCAGCACAGCATCAATTTGTTGAAACATTTGAATTGTATGTCATCAATTTCTGGACCCTTGTTTGCCAATGCCTTCAGTGCCGCTTGAACTTCTTCCTTCAATACCACCGGCTCTTGATCATATGCTATCTCTTCAAATGGTTGAGAATTGACCAATTGTTTTTCCTATAGAGACTCTGTATTTCTTCCATCTTCTTTTGATACTTCCTGTATCATTCAGTATTTTACCCATAGAAGCTTTTAATATTGCAACCTGAGGCTTGAGAGTTTTCTTTTTCTTCAATTCTTTCAGCTTAAAAATGCTGAGCATGTTCTTTTCCCTTTTGGTTTTCTAACTCTAGGTCTTTGCACACTTCATTATAATCCTTGTCTTTTGTCTTCTTGAGCTGTCCTTTGAAATTTTCTATTCAGTTCTTTTACTTCATCATTTCTTTGTTAGCGCAGGTCTAGTTCAGTTTTGAGCTTAGTTCAACAGTATATTCATTTCCTTGCGTTGCCATAATAAATGACCACAACTGGGTGGCTTACAACAACAGAAATTTAATGCTGAAAGTCTGAACTCAATAGTGTGGCTGGACCTTGCTTTCTCTGAGGGTCTCAGAGAAGAGTTGTTTCTTGTTTCTTTCAGTTTCTGGTAATTTCAAGTAAACTTCTTGGCTTGTAGCGGCATCATTCTAATTTCTGCATCCATCTTCACATAGGCTTCTTACTTCTCTATTTGTATCTGTGTCCAACTTTCTCTCTCCTTAAGAGGACACAAGTTTTTGGATTTAGGCCCCATCCGAATCCAGTATGACTTTATCTTAAAGTGGTTACATGATGTATTTCTGGGGTATCAAATGAGTGCCCAAGATGTTCTGACTGGATTGGAACTTGAATTTCTCCCAGTCCTGCAAGACTCCTAGTATTACCAGGAAGCTTGCAAGCCACAGGGGGTGGCCCCTGATGGGTCTGAGCCTCCCTGCTCATTTCACCTCACTGCACCCTTTGTGTGCAACCCAAGCTCTTAGATGAGGACCCACAGTGAATCCTATGAAGATTGCCGCCTGTCCTCTGCAAAGTCTCCTCTTTTCCATGGCCATTTCTTGCAAATTCCAGTCAGCGCAGCTGCTGGAGTGCCCTATTGACCAATGCCTGAAAACAGTTGCTTCGTGTATTTTCTCAAGTTTTATCTATTTACATGATGTTCAGAGGTCCAGTATCAGGGACTCTCTCAGAACAGAGCAGAAAATTTATCCAGATGCATTTAAAATTTGGCAGATGGGATTCTTCTGGATCAGGTCATGGGAGTGCAAGTCTTGGCCAGTGGTAGAACAGTCCTTTCTGATCCACTCTACACTATGGCCTGGCCTCTACCTTCAGACACTGCTGGCCAGTGGAAACTCGAATTGGCTGGTTACCTTTTTTTTTCAAATGTTTTATTGTGAATTATGTGATCGTTTACATGGGAGAACATTAGTTTTACATTCATTCTATCGTATATCGTCTCATTGCCATGGTTACAATTCCCTCCATGCAATCCTTCCCCCGTGCCCCCCCAGGTCTTCAGCACACAGACGCTCTCCCTCTCTGGATCTAAAGTCTCCAGCTGCTCCATCGCTCCACATCATCGTCTCTGCCTTCATTTCAGGCATCACTGCTTCTCTGGGTAGGGTCCTGCTCTCTGCTCTTCTCCCTTGATGGTCCTAGGGACCTCTGCTCCTAGACTGAAAAGTTAATCACTCCCCTCCTTGCTATAAAACGTCTACCTTTACATTTCCTACCCTCACAATCAGTCCTGATAACAATTATTCACTATTGTATCACAAGAGACCCGTCTGCATTTCATTGCATCAGCCCTGGCTAGTCAGATTGAATACTACTCACTGGAGATTCTACCTTCCTCCAGGCCCTCTGGATCTAGGTTCCCTCTTGAAAGCTTGTAAGCCAGTCACTTCTTGCCTTTGTAGCCCCCCACCCCCCATTTTGGGTAGCCAATGTCCAAGTTTGGCTGGTTACCTTTACAGGAAAAAATGCCACATTCTGCCTTGGTCCACAGAAGTTCCAGCATCTATGTACTCTGCCTGCATCGTGGCCAGGCACCAGGCTGAGCATTTGACAGTAAGCCACTTTCTCCCACATGCAGATGGAACCAGAGACCAGGCCATCAAAGACCGTAGGGGAAACAGACTAGTCCTGGATGGCCCCCTTTGACCTGATGCAGTTGGGGGTTCTGCATATGCAGTTCTGCCCCATGGGCACTGGGGTTCCTGATCAGGCTGTCTCACCCTGATAAAGTCTGTCTTTCCCTGTAGGTGATACGAGCCCCCAGACAGGCTGCTCTGCCCCACATTGTGAGGCCCTAGTTGGGCTGTCCTGCCTGGTGGATGTTGGGGGGCCCTGAGTGGGCACCCTGCCCTGTGGACATCACTACGACCCTGGACATGTCTTACTGCTCAGCAGAAATAAGCACCATCTGAGAGTTCTTATTTGAATGGAAACTTGGGCTTATTTGTTTTTTGCTACCTTGGAGTCCAGCCTTTAGAGAATGAAGAAGCCAGAACAGGCAGGCAGGATGTGGACTGTGTGTTTATCCAGAGAAGCTTCAGGAGGGTCGACAGTTTCAGTTTCCTGTCAGGAATGATACTCTCAGCTAAGTGTCCTGTCTCTGAGAGCTTCCAGAGAGAAAATGTAAGTGGCTGCCTCTAGTCCTCTTCTCCTGGGATGTGCCCTGGCTTGAACCCCAGAGTAGACCCCCTGTCCCTGCTCCTGCCTTCTCACAGATCTGAAGACCATGTGCGGACAGCACAAGGTGGGGGGAAGAGGGAGTGCAGCTCCCTAGCACCCTGAGAGGGCAGCCTAGAGCTTACAGTGACACATGCCCCTGAAGATGTCAGCTTGGGCTCCTTTCTGCCCCTTCTCTACTCCACTCGCTACCTGGCTGCTTTAGTTGGAATTTGGAAGATCATAGCTTACCCCCTACTCCTTCCATTCCCACCAAGCATTCAACCCAAGGTGGATGGGACCAGAGAGAGGTGAAGTGATTTGGCTGAGCTCACCTAATAGGAGTGGACCAAGCACACAGTCTGATATGGGGCCCCAGGGTCCCAGTGAGCTGTGGGTACAGGGTTAATGAAGGTGTCAGGTAAGCAACACACAAAAACAGACAAGCGTTCATGCTCACAGGTCTTCCCCGACTACTTATATTCTGAATTGGAGAAGACTTTGCACAAGAAGGTCTGAAATGTACAGACATCTAAGCTTAGGAAGCAGGTGAATGTGGGTCAAGGAGTCCCTGGGTGGTATAAACAGTTCACACGCTCAGCTGCCAACTGAAAGGTTGGAGGTTCGTCTACCCAGAGGCACCTCGGGAAAACAAGTCTGCTGATTCACTTCTGAAAAATTGTTGTTGTTGTCATGTGCCATGGAGTCGGTTCAGACTCACAGTGACGCTGTACAGGGTTTCTGAGGCTGTAAATCTTTATGGGAGCAGAAAGCCTCATCTTTGTCTCATGGAACAGCTGGTAGTTTCAAACTGCTGACCTTGTGATTCGCAGCCCAATTTGTAACCACTACGCTACCAGAGCTCTTTTATTCTAGCCATAGCTATATGAATAACTCAGCCATCACGCTGATCCACTTCTGAAAAATTAGCTACTGAAAATGATATGGTGCACAGTTCTTTTCTGATCTGACACCATGAATCTGAATCCACCCAATGAGAACTGCTTTTAGTTTAAGTTCAGACCAGGATTCCAGCAGCTCTGTGCCCATGGCAGACATCACTAATCAATCCCAGTACTTCTTCCTGATCCTTAGGATGCCGACAGGTCTCTAAACGATTTTCAACACAAGAGTCCCAGTACCCCTGCCAACACAGGAGTCGAGACCTGGCCCATCCTGCCATCGAGGGTCTCTGGTATGCATGGAACACCTGATTGCAGTGAGAGGCACCTTGTGCACCCAAGGGCCTTCCCAACTCCCTCTGTGAACAGGGACTGGGCAATCTGGGACCCTCTGATGAATGAGCAGGACCTCCTGAAATTGGCCTGTGGCAGCCAGATGAGGCATCCTGACCCCACAGTGCTGGTGGGATTAGAAGACTGGGGCTTTGGTGGACTTCTCATTGTTCCTGATTGTCTAATCTTGAGGGTGAGCAATAGGGACCTCCCTGGTTCTTCTGTGTTTCCCCTTCAGCCCCCTTGCTTGCTCAGCCTAGGGTGTGGGGTGTCAGTACCTTCTGCTGGCCCAGGGCCAGGTGCACCAGTGCCCGCCCACACAGTGCCTGCACGTTCCCTGGCTCGACCCGGAGTACGATGTTGAAGTCGAACATGGCTGTCTTCTTCTGGCCCAGGAAACCGTAGCAGCAGGCACGGGCGAGGAGGGACTCGCTGGCCTGACCTCCTAGAAGAGGGAGGGTGTATGTTGGCAGGGGAGGAGGGGGTAGACACGGCTGGACATGAACCAGGCACATTTACAGAGCCCTCCCAATGCCGGCCTGGGTGGGGGACCCTGTGGGGTCCACCCCAAGGCACACAAAGGGGACAGTTAGGGTGAGCTGGGGTCACTGGTCATAGGACAAAGGAAGCCCCAGCAGGAAGTAGTCTAAAAGGACTTCCTAGAGGAGGGGCCAGGAGCTGTGTCTGAGGCCAAAAGGGGGTGGGGAGGATTCTGGGTCCTCTGGGCAAGAGTGGAAGTGGTACTGGGTGAAGGGTCGAGGCATGGGGTTGGAGCACAGGAATCCTCTTTCCAAAGAGGACACCTGTAATGGCCCTTCCTGGGGATTGGGACCAGGTTTGGGGGTTCCATGTGCTCTTCTCCCTGTCTCCCATTTTCCCAGGAGCACTTGGTATTCAGCTAGATCAGCCAGGCCAACTCCCAGCAGAACAGAAGGCAGGGTGAGGCATCCTGGAGAGGTTCCATTTTGCTCTCTGAACTCCGTGTCAGTTCCAGGCCTTCAGGGGGCCCTTGACCCAGGAAGGAGTTGAGCTCAGAGAAGGTGAGTGACCCGTCAGACCTCAGACACCCAGCTCATCAGGGGGCAGCCCTCAGGAGCCATTGTCCCACCTGGTGCTGCTAACAAGGTGACAGATTCAAATGTCACTGTCTCCTGGTCTCTTGGGGTCCCACTGGGCAGGGGGCCATGAGGCCCAGCAGATGAGGCCTGGACATGGGAGATGTGCTCTGTTCTAGGGTGGGAGATTCTCAGTGCTGCAGGCAGGCAGCAGGGTATTGTCACCTTCCCTGCGATGTCATCGTCACCCTCCTCTCTCTCAGGCATTGGCTTAGGATGTTCCCAGTGGGCAGCCTTGTCCTGTCCATCCCAAGGGGATGCTCACTACTCTGGGGGAACAAACTGTGAACCAGACATGTCTCACGGTACCTGATGCCCAGCAAGACAAAATAGCCATACCCCATACCTGGCATCTTGGCCCAATCAGGGACCTGTGTTGTAGGATAACACACCACCAGACAGACATGGGAGACCCTGTGCTCCCCTCCCCCCCACTGATGCCCCCAACTTGTCCTGACCTTCATGCCCCCTGGTCCTCAGCATGGCAGAACCCCCTACACCCAGGATGGTAGCTGGTCCCGCCCAGGCCCTGTCCTACCTGAGGCAAAGATGGCCAGAGAGAGGTAGCTGATGGCCTCCCTGGCCTGGACTCCGCTGTCTCCACCTGGCCGCGCCCTCAGGATGGCCACGGCCTGCGTGTGGCAGTGGCTCTGAAGTAGCTGTCGGTCCTCATTGTGGAAGACATCCAGGGTGGGTTGGAGGTAGGCTGTGTCCCCAGACCGGACCACCTTCTTCACCAGCTGCAGGGCAGGCCAGTCACTACTGACACCCTCCTCCCTGGGCTCATGGCCACCCAGGTTCCTCCCTGCTGGCCTCTTTCCTTTCAGGGCTTCAGGATGCTCTCCACCACTCTGGGCAGCCTGCAGTCATCTAAGGGGGGCCCTTCATCTCCTTATCACACTGGGGTCACAGAAGACAGAGACTGCACAGGGCAGAGTGGGCAAAGGGTGACTGCTCTCCAAGCAGAGTGGGTATCTGCATCACGGGCAGCCTCTTGGTGTTGTTCCCAGGCCTCCTTCTCCTCCTCACAGGGCTAGCTCAAGATGTTCAAGTCAGGCAGTGCCAGAAGAGGGGGCTTTCAAGTTATAAAGTGACAAGAGATGGAGGGAGTCCTTCAGAAAACTCCAGGACAGGGAGTAGGTCTCTAGCGACAGGAACCACAACCCTGAGCAGCGTCGCTGTAAGGATCCGGTGCTGCCACCTGCTGACCAGCACGCAAGTGACATGGGCTCTAGTGGATTTGGAGAATCTTCTCCTCTCTCCAGTGCCACGCCAGCAGGGAGTCAGGAAATAAACCAGGGCAGAGGACAAAGAGGGGACTGATAGGTCCCACTACCCTGGGCTCTCAAATCTGAGATCTGCCCCCTAGAACATGAGACTCTGACTTGCGTTCAGACACTGGAGCAAAAAGAGATGTCTCAGAGGCTGGGGAACTGGGAATCCTCTTCCAGATTCCTCGAGAAGACAGGTAAACAAGACAAGCCTGGTTTACCTGGAAGATTTAGGGTCTCTACAGTGGACTCTGAGCCTTTTTTCTTTATCACCTAAGGAAAAACAAATATGGGGCATCTGCTTGGAAGAAAGACCTGATGATTTGTTTCCAAAATATTAGCTATTGAAAACCCTTATGAGCACAGGTCTACTCTGATACACCTGGGTCCACCAAGAGTCACAGTCGACTGGATGGCAACTGTTTTGTGTTTGAAACAGCTGTAGAACACCTGCTGAACACAGTAGAACCTGCTCCAGCTAATTCCCACAATAACTGAGCAAAGTCTGAACACACATAAAGAGACTGAAGGTCAAAGAGATGGGAGAGCTGCCGAAATGGCATAGCTGCAGGTGACAGAGCAGGGCTGAGGCAGGAATAAGGCTTGTCTGACTCCAAAGCTGGGCCATACAGTTCAGAGCAAGGGGCCAGGGAGGCCCTCTGTGGCCTCACTCTACACGACTGACCCCCACCCCAACCCGGTCTCCTCACCTGGTTGGCGTCATAGAAGAAGCCCCTCCGTAGCTGCAGCAGGGCCAGCCGTGCCAGGACAGGGGCCGCCTGGGGCCTCCGGGACAGGGCCACCAGCAGTGCCTTGTGGGCATCGTTCAGGCGGCCCAGACGGTACAGGGCATCGGCTGCCAGTAGGCGTGAGTCTTCATTCTCTGTGTCCAGCTCCATCAACAGTGTGGCCAGCTGGTACACACCTTGGGCATCCCTGTATGCAGAGAGAGCCGCTGGGGTGGGGGAGGCAGCCCTGCTGTGTACCCCTTGGATCTTCCCAGGGAGTCACCAGTAAATCCTGGCCCCTCAAATCTGCTCTGGGCTACTTCCTTCTTGCCAGACTGTAGAAACTGTTATACAATGTTGTGTCCAGAGATTCATAGCTGCTCCCTGTCCCCATCCTTTCATTCCATCCTTCCACCTTCCCCTGGGGCAGGCATATTACAGATGCTGAAATTGAGGTCAAGTCCACAGGAGAAAGATGAGGCTTTCTGCTCCCATAAAGATTTACAGCCTCGGAAACCCTGTACAGGGTCGCTATGAGTTGGAACTGACTCCATGGCACATAACAACAACAACAACATGGTCAGCAGCAGCACTGACCCTGTGGTCCAGTGACAAGATAGCACACAAAACACATGTGGAGTGTCCTTGGCACCCACGTTAGGGGCTGTTAATCAAAGTTGACAATTCCCAGATTGTAGCGCTGTGGGTTAATGTGCCAGACTGCAAAGCCGTTTGAGCTGCAAGTCGGCGGTTCAAGCTCACCAGCTGCTCCTCGGAAACCCTATACAGGGTCGCTATGGGTCAGAACTGACTCGATGGCACTTAACAACAACAAATAACAAGAGAGAACAAATATGAACATCTCCAAATCAGAAATGCTTTCTAAGTAGGCAAATCAAAGTGATTGCCATTAAGCACCAGAGAGGCACAGGTAGCAAGTGTGTGTATGGGAACTGATATCAAATTTGCTCCTCACTAGGCGACTACTGTGGTGCTTTTAACATCCCGCCACCTTCCCTGACACTGGAGAAGCTGTTGTCATGCTGATTCTAACTCACAGTGAGTGACTACATAGGACAGAGTCAAACTGCCTCATAGGGCTTCTGACACTGTGATCTTTATGGAAGCTGACTGCCACAGTTTTTAAACTGCTGTCCAATTAGCAGCCGAGTATGACCAGGGTTCCTCAGGTGAGCAAAGAGAATATAGGCATACGTTGGAGATGTTTCGGATTTGGTTGCAGACCACCCCAGTAAAGCGAATGTCGCAATAAACTGAGTCACAAGAACTATTTGGTTTCCCAATATATATACATATAAAGGAGTCCTGGTATGGCACCGTGGGTTAATGCACTGGACTTCAAGGTCTGTTTGAACCACGAGGTCGGCTGTTCAGGCTCACCAGCCACTCTGCAGAAACCCTATACAGGGTCGCTATGGGTCAAAACTCACTTGATGGCACTTAACAACAATAATGTATATATAAATTATATTTACATTGTACTATAGGGACCAGTCACTGGAGAAGGATATCATATTTGGTAAGGTGGAGGGTCAGAGAAAAAGACGAAGACCCCCAGCAAGCTGGATCAGCCAAGTGGCAGCATCGATGGGCTCAAGCGTGGCAACAATAGTGAGGTTGGCCCAGGATCGGGCAGTGTTTTGCTCTGCTGTGCATAAGGTCGCTATGAGTCAGTACCAACTCGATGGCACCTAACAACAACAACAACATAGTCTATACTGTAGTCCTGTTGTGGTGCTGCGGGCTAGTGCTCTAGACTGCAAAGTCGGTTTGAACCGCAAAGTCAGCGGTTCAAGCTCACCAGCTGCTCCTTGGAAACCCTATACAGGGTCTCTATGGGTTGTAAGCCACTCAAAGGCACTAACAACAACATAGTCAATAATGGAGTCTTGGTGTGGTGCTGTGGGATAAAGCACTAGACCTCAAGGTTGGTTTATACTTCAGGGTCGGTGGTTCAAACTCACCAGCAGCTCCTCGAAAATCCTGTACAGGGGTCGCTATGAGTCAGAACTAACTCATTGGCACTTATCAAGAAACACAACAGTAGTCTATAGTGGACCCCTGGTAGCATAGTGGGTTTTGGATTGGGCAGTTAACCACGAGGTCAGCAGTTCATATCTACCAGTTGCTTCGAGGGAGAAACTTGAGATTTTCTGCTCCCATAAAGATTTACAGCCTCAGAAACCCCACAAAGGGCCGCTATGAGTTGGAATAAGCTCCACGGCACACAACCACCACCACCACAGTCTATAATAACGAGCCCCGGTGATGCTGTGCAATAAGCAATGGATTTCTAACTGCAAGATCGGTGGTTCAAATCCACCAGCTGCTCCTCAGAAGAAAGATGAGGTTTTCTGCTAAACTACAGCCTCAGAACCCTTATACAGGGTTGCTATGAGTTGACATTGATTAGATGACAATGATAACACATTTGTTTTTAATAGTCTATAATTGCATTGGTGTCCTGGTGTGGTGCTGTAGGATAAGCACTGGATTGCCAACTGCAAGGTCAGCAGTTCAAACCCACCAGCTGCTCCTCAGAAACACTATACATGGTTTCTTTCAGTTAGTAGCGACTCAACGGCACCTAACAACAACAACAACATAATCGCAGTATGAAGAACTTGGAAGTTATTACGAGAATGACCAAAATCTGACACAGAGACACAAAGTAAATACATGCCATTGGAAAAAGGGTGCCGATAGATTTGCTTGACGCAGACTTGCTACAAATCTTCAATTTGTAAACAAAACAAAACAAAACCCAAAAATGCAATCAAGAGAAGCACATTAAAATTTTTGGTTGTATTAAGTGTGTGTTTGGGCTGGGAGGGTGTGACCAGAGAGGCATGGCAGGGTGAGAAAGCTCCTGATGTCAGGCCAGCCCCTAGCCCAAGGACTTGTGGGGAGCATCACTGTAAAGCAAAACACTGGAGATGAGATCTTATCCAAGATGGTGCAATGCCAAACAGTAAGAAATCTAGAAATGCCCAAATAAATAATGGCTCAGCTACAGAATGTCCACCAGTCCCTCCTTGGAAACCCTATTCAGGGTGGCTATGAGTTAGAACCAACTGTCCAGCACTTAACAACAGAACGTTCACAGGGTGGGAAATTGTACTGTGCTGAAAATACTATCCAGGAGTTGCTGATGGGTTTGACCTTGTGGTTAGCAGTACAGTGTTTGTCCTATAGCGCCACACCAGGACTCCATAAAAATAGGATCAACAAGGAAAGTGCTCACGACACCTACTGAGGCCCAAACCACTGCCATTGGGTCAATTCCCGTTGTTGTTGTTGCTAAGTGCTGTCAAGCTGGTTCCAACCCACAGCAACCCTGTTTAGGGTTTCCAAGGAGCAGCTGGTGAGCTTGAACTGCCTACCTTGTGCTTCAAATCAACTTTGCAGTCCTGTGCATTAACCCGCAGCACCTCATCAGGACTCCTAGGACCCTACAGGACAGAGGAAAACTGCTCCTGATGGTTTCTTAAAGTGTAAATCTTGATGGGAGCAGACAGCCTCATCTTTCTACCTCAGAGAGGCTGGTGGGTTTGAACCATCAACCTTGTGGTTAACAGCCCAACACTGCACCATGAAAACAGCACACACTTAGTTTTCTGAAATAGACTTTGTATGCACAAAGAGAAAGCGTTACAAAGATGTATTAATGGGTTGCTCTTGTTAGGTGTCCTCTAGTCTGTTGCAACTCATAGCGACCCTACGCATAACACAACAGAAACACTGCCGTGTCCTCCACCATCCTTACAATCGCTGTTATGTCTGCACCTATGGTTGGTGTCACTATCAATCCACTCATTGGGGGTCTTCCTATTTTCCCCTGACCCTCTACTTTACCAAGCACAAT